TTGGGGGGGGAAGACGATTTTTGTGTTGCCTAGGGCAGCACGAAACCTAAATACACCGCTGGCAGTTGGCAGGGCACAGGCTTTTCTAGGAGGTTGTGTTTGCTTTAGAAAGATAAATGGAAGTGTAAGACATTGCTCATCTTTAGTTTCGGTTGCACTGAGCGTTCCATTGGGCATTAACCTCTTCATGCCGGCTGCACACAAATGTGTCTGGGCCTAGACGCCGAGCAGCCGCCCATTTGTGTGCAAATAACAAAAACATATGTGCTGAGAGCGCGCACCCTGCACGCTCCCAGCACACGTCCGGTACTCATGGAAAGGTCCCAATATGCTCTTTCAATCGGGACCTCTCCCGATCATGCGACTGCCGTGATGACGTGTCACGGCGGTCACATGATCCCCAACCCCGCCCATCCCGCCTCCCAGCTTCTGAAACTCTTAAAGGGCCGGGTGGCGCCGGCAGGAAGGGGGTTAAACCCCCTCAGCTTTTATCTGACAGTGAAATATCGGTTTTGGATTGACTGACGCGTTTGAAGAGAATTGCTGTTTGCTCATTTGTCTTTCTTCTTCTCTGAAGGCTTCTTGTCTGCTGGCGATATTGATCTTGTGGTGGAACATCTGACACTTCTTATCCTGGAGGAGACCGACCCGCAGAGCTGGTACATTTGTGTTGACTACACCTTTCAGTGAAACCTTTTTCTCTCGTCCATTGAGGGGAGTAGGGGTGGGGGGGGGGGGGACACGGGGAGTCTTATCCGCTTGATCTCCAGGACTTTTCCTGACACTTTTCTTTTACATGTAAAAATCAGCTGATCACATGCATTCTTCCAAAGCAAAAAAAAAAAAAAACCCTATAGGCATACACGCTAAACTGAGCATGTGCAGAGTGCCTCCTAGAGCTCTGTACTATCAGCAGATGGATTGGGGACAGTAGAAGGGGAGGATCAGAGAAGACAGGATCAAACAGCCTTTTTACACAATGCGGTGGATTTACCCCCCTAGGTTCCACAATGAGTATAACCAGCATGCTTTGCTGCATCTACAGACTGACTATTGTTTTGGGTTTAGGAACACTTTAGTGTTGGTAAGATGATTGACAAACCTGAGCCCTGAGCACAGAAACCTTCTTTTACATACATTTCTCAATAGAAGATAAAAGTCCATTTTGTGTGCAGCAAATGTTCTTGCAATCCCAGATGTTACCATATAAAACTAATCATCACTGTGCTGTACATAGCCTGTGCAGAGAGCAGAGATGTTGGAGGGGCCCAGCATGTTTACCCACTATAAGGCTGCCTGCAGAAAACTACAGTAGGGGGCGGAGACCAGACCTGTCACCCTGCACAATGAGAGAGCTGAGCTGTGGGAGGGGCCTGGCAGACCACACCTACTACAGGCTACCTTCAGAAAACTACCAAAGGGGCGGAGACAAGAACAGTCACCCTGTACCATGAGAACAGAGCTGTGGGAGGGGCCCAGCAGACCACACCCACTACAGGCTGCCTGCAGAAAACTACCAAAGGGGCGGAGGCAAGACCAGTCACCCTGTGCCATGAGAGCAGAGCTGTGTGAGGGGTCCAGCAGACCTCACCCACTACAGGCTGCCTGCAGAAAACTACAGTAGGGGGCGGAGACAAGACCAGGCACCCTGCACAATCAGAAGAGCAGAGCTGTGGGAGGGGCCCGGCAGACCTCACCCACTACAGGCTGCCTGCAGAAAACTACAGTAGGGGGCGGAGACAAGACCAGGCACTCTGCACAATCAGAGAGCAGAGCTGTGGGAGGGGCCCGGCAGACCACACTGACTACAGGCTGCCTTCAGAAAATTATAGGAGGCGGTGCAGACGAGACCAGTCACCCTGCACAATGAGAGAGCTGTGCTGTGGGAGGGGCCCAGCAAGCCCCACCCACTACAGGCTGCCTGCAGAAAAGCTACTAAAGGGGCGGAGTTAAGACTAGTCAGCTTGCAGAAAGAGAGCAGAGCTGTGGGAGGGGCCCGTCAGACCACACCCACTGCAGGCTGCCTGCAGAAAACTACTAAAGGGGTGCAGACAAGACCAGTCACCCTGCACAAGGAGGGAGAGCAGCAATGGCTGGTCTTTATTACAGGAAGTCCCTGCACAGAGGCATTATGGGGCTTGTTGGAAGTTATGTTTTAGGGGTGTATTTTCCCGTATTGACACTCTGCATATCTCAAGGCTAATTATGTTTTGTGTATTGTAGCCAGGCTGCGATTGAAGCTTCCGGAACGTTGGCTGAAATTCATCCAGCGGTGTTCATTGGTAGGATGGTACCTCAGCTGTGTTCACGGCTACAGACGGGTAGGTGAAACGCAACTTACCTTTATTATGCGCATTGCCCCACATAAAGTAATATGTTTTATGTTACCTGTCACTATAGCACTGTCATGTGAGCGCAAATATATACAAATGTCTAATGGGATTATTATAATATACACTATATTGCCCCAAGTATTGGGCCGCCGGCCTTTCCACACACATGACCTTTAATGGCCCCCAGTCTTAGCCCGTAGGGTTCAGTATTGAGTTGGCCCCGCCCTTTCCACACACATGACCTTTAATGGCCTCCCAGTCTTAGTCCGTAGGGTTCAATATTGAGTTGGCCCCGCCCTTTCCACACACATGACCTTTAATGGCCCCCCAGTCTTAGTCCGTAGGGTTCGATATTGAGTTGGCCCCCCCGCCCTTTCCACGCACATGACATTTAATGGCCCCCAGTCTTGGTCCGTAGGGTTCAATATTGAGTTGGCCCCGCCCTTTCCACACACATGACCTTTAATGGCCCCCAGTCTTAGTCCATAGGGTTCGATATTGAGTTGGCCCCGCCCTTTCCACACACACATGACTTAGTCCCCTAGGGTTCGATATTGAGTTGGCCCCGCCCTTTCCACACACATGACCTTTAATGGCCCCCCAGTCTTAGTCCATAGGGTTCAATATTGAGTTGGCCCCGCCCTTTCCAAGCACATGACCTTTAATGACCCCCCAGTCTTAGTCCATAGGGTTCAATATTGAGTTGGCCCCGCCCTTTCCACGCACATGACCTTCAATGGCCCCCCAGTCTTAGTCCGTAGGGTTCAATATTGAGTTGGCCCCGCCCTTTGCAGCTATAACAGCTTCAACTCTTCTGGGAAGGCCGTCCACAAGGTTTAGGAGGGTGTCTATGGGAAGGTTGGACCATTCTTCCAGAAGCACATTTGTCAGGTCAGGCACTGATGTCGGGGGAGGAGGCCTGGCTCACAGTCTCCGCTCTAATTCATCCCAAAGGTGTTCTATGGGGTTGAGGTCAGGACTCTGTGCAGGACAGTCAAGTTCCTCCACCCCAAACTGGCTCCTCCATGTCTTTATGGACCTTGCTTTGTGCACTGGTGGGCAGTCATGTTGGAACAGGAAGGGGCCATCCCCAAACTCCTCCCACAAAGTTGGGAGCATGAAATTGTCCAAAATGTCACCTTAAGAGTTCCCTTCACTGGAACTAGGGGGCCAAGTCCAACCCCTGAGGAACACCCCCACACCATAATACCCCCTCCATCAAACTTTACACTAGGGGTATACCGAAATTTCGGTGGCCGAAACGTTTCGGCCAAAAACACCCGTCAGCCGATATGAAAATAAGCACCAATGGATGTGCAGAAAATAACCCTGCCCCTTCGCCGTTGTCGCTGTCCACCCCCTTTTTTTGATCCAATGCTTTAAATTGTAGAAGAGAGATGTGGGGTCTTATTGACCCCCATATCTCTCCATAAAGACCTGTCACTGTTTCTATCACAGGGGATGCATGCATTCCTTGTGATTGGAATAAAACTGATTAAAAAAACTGATTAAACTTTTTTTTTTACACTGTTTGTTTTTAAAGTGCCCCCGTCCCCCCATGCTCGCATGTAGTGGTGAATGCATACATAGGCCACGCCCACATATGTAAACTGTGTTCAAACCACGCATGTGAGGTATCACCACGAACGTCGGAGCGAGAGCAATAATTCTCGCACTAGACCTCCTCTGTAACTTTACACTGCTAACCTGGAGAAATCTTTTAAGCATCACCCATGGAGATTTTTAAGTACCGCAGTTTGACGCCATTCCACAAGCGTGCACAGTTTTAAAGCGTGACATGTTGGGTATCTATTTACTCGCCGCAACATCATCTTTCATATTTTACACAAAGATAGGGATACATATTGTGTTTTTTTTTTTTTTTTAAATTCATTAAGTGTATTGTTTTCCAAAAAATATAGATTCATTTTTAAAAACAGTCCATTTCGGTTTCGGTTTTTGGCCAAGTGCATCCTGAATTTTCAGTTTCGGCACCTGAATTTTCATTTTGGTGCACCACTACTTTACGCTTGGCACAATACAGTCAGGCAAGTACAATTCTCCTGGCAACCACCAAACCCAGACATGTCCATCGGATTGCCAGACAGAGAAGCATGATTGGTCACTCCAGAGAACACGTCTCCACTGCTCTAGAGTCCAGTGGCGGCGTGCTTTACACCATGGCATCCGACACTTTGCATTGCACTTGGTGATGGAAGGCTTGGATGCAGCTGCTCGGCCATGGAAACCCATTCCATGAAGCTCTCTACGCACTGTTGTTGGGCTCATCTGAAGCCCACACCAAGTTTGGAGGTCTTTAGCTATTGACTCTGCAGACAGTTATTGACTTCTGCGCACTGTGCGCTTCAGCATGCGCTGACCCCGCCCTGTCATGTGACGTGGCCTACCACTTGGTGGCTGAGTGGCTGTTGTTCCCAGTGGCTTCCACTTTGTTATAATCCCACTAACAGTTGAGCGTGGAATATTTAGTAGCCAGGAAATGTCACGGATGGACTTATTGCCCAGGTGGCCACCTATCACGGGACCACGCTTGGAGTCACTGAGCTCCTGAGAGCGACCCATTCTTTCACCAATGTTTGTAGAAGCAGTCTGCATGCCTAGGGGCTGGATTGTATACACCTGTGTCCATGGAGGGGATTGGAACACCTGAATCACATGATATGGGAGGGGATTGGAACACCTGAATCACATGATATGGGAGGGGATTGGAACACCTGAATCACATGATATGGAGGGGATTGGATTGGAACACCTGAATCACATGATTGGGAGGGGATTGGAACACCTGAATCACATGATATGGAGGGGATTGAAACCTGAATCACATGATGTGGAGGGGATGGAACATGAATCACATGATGGAATGGATTGGAACACCTGAATCACATGATGTTATGGAGGGGATTGGAACACCTGAATCACATGTGGAGGGGATTGGATGATGGATTGGAACACCTGAATCACATGATGTGGAGGGGATTGGAACACCTGAATCACATGATGTGGAGGGGATTGGATTGGAACACCTGAATCACATGAGGATGAGGATTGAATCACATGAAGACTGGAACACCTGAATCACATGATTGGCATCTCTGTCAGTGGTGTAGAGAAGGGGAGCAGGTAGGTGGGCATTTGTGGGTTGTAAGGAAACTGTAGGGATCTGGGGATGGAGTGGGAGGGATTGGAACACCTGAATCACATTGGGGGAAATTCTGAGGAAGGAAGGGGGACTGAAGGGCTCTAAGGAAGGGAGGAGGAAAGGGGGTCTGAGGAGGGGAAGGGTGAGGTCTAAGACTGCGTTTGTCCTCCCCATACACCCCCCTATTTTCCTAAAATACCTAATTCAGGCAAAATACCACATCATGGCCACTAGATGGAGCTGATGATCATTAGAAATATGTACATTAGACAAATTCCAGGGAATATATGTGACAGCTGCAGGGAATTCCCAGCAAATTCGTTATAAATTGACTCCCCAACTCTTCCATTACTGCATATCAGATTTTGGAACCTGCCCACATGGAAAGGGGTTGGAGAAGAGCTGTGCAGTTGGGTGGTTATCAGCGATCCATTGTCCCCCAATACGTGTGCATGTAGTCTCAATGACGGCTGTGTTTTTTCGGCAGTGTCCATGGAGGGCGTTGAACCTGCAGGCAGTGTTATCCCCGAGCATGCCGTACGGCTGCGGTGTCTTGAAGCTTTAGCGGCCATGTCTACTCATCACAGTATTGTGGAAGAGACGGTCCCCATCCTACTGGGCCACCTCAGAAGAGGACAGAGAGGTAAGTACTCTTCCCCATGAAGGATCCTCTGTAGCGTCTTCCGCCACCATCGCCTCATTCTGTAGTAGTTGATCGCCATGTCATCCGAATGCTACTTATTCCATTCTCTCATTGACGTAGAAGGGGAGACGAGCGCTGAAGACATCATCTCCGTGTGTAAGAGTCTGCATCGGGTGGCTGTACAGTGCCAGCAAAATGCCAAATCTCTGCGCTTCTACCACAAGACCGTAGTGCCCTGCCTCCTCTCCCCTGACCGTACAGGCTGCAATGCGAGGTGAGCCGACACCATCCGCACACATTCATTGGTATTGGTGTATTGGGGGAATGTAAAATCTACAAAACTCTTACAAATATAAAAAATGCTACTTTCCAAAGTTTTGAGTCCATCCTACTGGTCCTCACAGTTACCTATACCAGGGGCGGACTGACCGGGGTCAGTAGGGGGCCCCATGAGATACCCCTGGTACCTTTTTCATAGCCTTTTTTGTGTTTGGGCAAGGACACAGGGGCCCCATGATCCCCTATTGCCCGGGGGCCCCTTGATTTGTCAGTCTGCCCCTGATCTATACTCAGACAAAAAAAACTTAAAGCGGAGTTCCACTCACCCTGTCAAAAAATAAGTCAGCAGGTACAAAAACTGTAGCTGCTGACTTTTAAAAAAAAAAAAAAAACAGCCACTTACCTGTCCCTCGGTCCCGCGGTGTGTCCTGTAGTTCGTTTCACCAGCTGTCCTGGATTCCTGGAGGCCGGCTTCTTCAGTGTGGGCACCCGGCTGTGGCAGCTTGCGGGCTTCACGGCCGGGTACCCAGTGCGCATGCGCGAGTAGAGCTGCGCTTCATGAATGGTCCCCGTAGTCTTCTGGGACCTGTCACGTGTCCCAAAAGACTACAGGGAGGGAGGGCACCTTCCACTTCCAATTGCCTAGGCCAGGGGTAGGCAACCTGCTGCTCTCCAGCTGTTGCAGGACTACAAGTTCCATCATGCCTCTGCAAGTCATAGCTGTAACTGTCAGTTTTGTAATGTTGCAATGTCTCATGGGAAATGTAGTTCCACAACAGCTAGAGAGCCGCAGGTTGCCTACCCCTAGCCTAGGCGAGCAGAAGGTGTCCTCCCCCCTCCCTCCCTGTAGTCTTTTGGGACACGTGACAGGTCCTAGAAGACTACAGGACCATTCATGAAGCGCAGCTCCACTCGGAAGTGGGAGCGGGTACCTGTCAAATTCTGTAAAAAGGTGCCAGTTCTTAATGGCGAGCAGTCCTTAAAGCAGAACTTCCCCTTTTGGGTGGAGCTCTGCTTTAGCAAAAACAAAAAAACACACATAGAAAAACAAAAGAAAAAAATATCCCCATACACTTTTTTCTGTTTCTGTGGCCAAAAATATTGGCATTGCATTTCTGCCAGATCATGCATCACTTCACCCAGAAAATTGTGCCTGACGGACTTGGATTTGTCTGGAAGTTGATGGAGATTCTTTAGCCACCATTCCAACAATCCTTTGTTGCAATCTTTGATGAATTTTTCTCTTTCGTCCTCGTCCAGGGGGATTAGCTGCAGTACCATAGGCTGTAAACATCTTGACAATGTTGCGCACAGTGGGCACAGGAACATTAAGATCTCTGGACATGGATTTGCCACCTTGAGATGGTCCATGCTTTTCCACCATTTTTGTTCTCCAATCCTCAGACAATTCTTTGCTGCTCTTTCTCTCCTCCATGCGGCACACAGAGCCACCCAACAGAAAGGTGGAGGCCGTATGTCACCATTGTCCCTGGTTGTCGGTGTGATTTCCATATTGTCAGCACCTGGTCATGGATACGGGGGGGGGGTTCAGTTTAATGACCAATTACAGGAGCAGCACAGGCTTGGAATGAAATTATTTCTTACAACTTTGAGAAGGTGCCAATCATTCTGTCGGGTCTATTTTTGTGGATTTGCGTGGAATGTGTCAGATTTGGCCTTTTGTTTCTCTCCACTTTCTTTGTGTCACCAATACAAACCAAAGAAATAAATGTGAGAACGCTGATACATTTGTAATTGCAGCAAATCTCTGGGTGAAGTGGTGCGTTATCTGACCGAGATCAGAAAATGCTGGGGGGGGGGGGACCAAGATTTTTGACCATGACTGTATCTCATAGCTGATACACGCAGTGAGAATGTTGAAGTGTACATTTGAGCAAATAAAACAAACAAATCCGGTGTGAGAATACAAGGAAAATGAATGCCGCTCGGACCAGCCCAATAAAGTCGGATTGAGTGTTGGCCTCAGCCTATGCCCCACCAGCCCCGCCCTGCTGATGCGTTCTGCCCCGCCCTGCTGATGCGTTCTGCCCCGCCTGCTGATGCGTTCTGCCCCGCCTGCTGATGCGTTCTTCTGCCCCGCCCGCTGATGCGTTCTGCCCCGCCTGCTGATGCGTTCTGCCCCGCCCGCTGATGCGTTCTGCCCCGCCCGCTGATTCGTTCTGCCCCGCCTGATGCGTTCTGCCCCGCCGCACTGCAACAAATATGGGAGAATAATAATAGCAAAGCTTATTTTTTTTCTATAGGTACCGCAGTCATTTACCTTAGACATTGTAATAAAATCCCTCCAAAGAAAACTATAGTAATAGTACTACACTAAACTGATACTAAAGGATCTTTATTATTTATTTAAAAAAAAACAAAAAACATGTTATACATATATACATAATAATGATGCAGCGCTAATATAAACTAAAATAAACAATCATGGGTGATAAAGTGTATAAAGCAGTAAAATATGAAAAGGTCTAAGGATCAGACCTATCGGTGCTCACACAACAAGGGTGACCCCAATTTACATGGGGATTTAATAAATCGTGACCCCCCAAGTGCCCTATTGGGACACAATAGTAACAATCACAGATGTAAATCCCTGCTGAGGGATCAAAAACACACCATGTGAAACACACATCACATATACATAATACAGTGACTAAAACGTCCATAAATTGGTGTAGTGATCTTCCTGTTCATGCACGGTGTGGATGTCTCTTTGGTGGTAATTTAATCATCGCTGGGGTTTTTATATTTTTTGCTAAATTAACAAAAAAAAGACCAAAAATTTGAAAAAAACCCACATTTTTCTTTGTTTCTGTTATAAAAGTTTACAAATAAATAATTGTTCTCATAAATTTAGGCCGAGATGTATTCTGCTACATGTCTTTGGTGAAAATAACCCAAATTAGATGTATTATTTAGTTTGTAGGAAAGTTATAGAGTTAACAAACTATGGTACAATAGATCTGAGTATTGATCAATCCTGAAGTACTGACGGCCAATCTAATTTCTTGAGGTCCACAGAATGTCAGAATAGTACAGATATCCCCCAAATGACCCCTTTTTGCAGAGTAGACAGTCCCCGACGTACTTCATAAGAGGCATGGCGAGTTTTTTTGAAGTTGTATTTTTTTTTGTCATAATTTTTCCGAAAAAATGAAAAAATGAAAAAAATTATTTCACTATTTTTTTTTTTTACATACTGTCACCAGTGCAGTACAGCGTCATCATATAACTGGCATGGCGGTGAACAGGGACCTGACTGTGACAGTATTGAAAAAAAAAAAATATATTTTTTTTTATTTTTTTTTTTAATTTTTTTATTATATTTAATTTTTTATTACATTTTTTTTATTTTTTTTAAGATTTTTTTTCATATTTTTTACTATGACCAAAATAGTACAAATGTTACCATAGTAACATTGTACTACTTTTGGGGAAGTGATCAGTATTTTTTTTTTTTTTATTTTTTTTTAACAATTTGCTTATAAGCAAAGAATTACTTGTGCTATAAGCAAGCATTTACCTGAATGACAATCGATTCATTCAGCTTTTTTTTTTTTTTTTTTGTGCTTAGCTGTGATTTGGTCACAGCTATCACATGACATGTGCATGTGATTAGCTGTGACCATTCACAGCTAGGCACTAGTAAACAATGGATGACATCATGAATGAAGCCATCCATGTATACAACTGTCATGTGACCTGCTGTGATTGGTTCCACAGCAGGGTCACATGGTACCAGCAACGGGAGCCGGTTAACTCGGATCTGTCATCCCGGCCGTGTCCGAGGTGCACGGCCCGTGACAGATCCCGCTGCTGCACCAGCCCGCTCTGCACTAGCGCAAACGGCGCATGTGCGGAGCACGCCAAATGGCTGTGCACCCCGGAATGGAGAGCACATCTGAAGGCCGCCAAACGGCCCATTGGC